TTTTATTTCCATTGGCATATTATTATTATTATTATTATTATTTTGAAATACAAAAATTTTGTAAAGAATGGTAAGTCAGGAACAAAACATCAAGTAAGAGGAAGATAGGAGAACTTTTAGGTACAGAAACATGTTTTTGAAAAACATGGAAGAGAAAGTAGGTGAACAAGGGATTTTAATCCATGTTAAGGCAGGGGATGTAAAACATTTTATTTTTAAAGTAAGAGATCGTTATGAAACAGAAATGGGCATATAAGGAAAAAAACCAGAGCATCCCTGCCCCTCACCTGCTGCAGCACTCCAGAGAGTGGGCCCTCCACCTCCCTTGGCAATACAGTGGAGCTGGCCCCAGTGTCCCTGTGGAAGTGCCTACTCAGGAGGTGTGAAAGCAGAATCATTGGCCCTGCCCCTAGGAGGAAATTAACCAGAGCAATGATGGAAAGCTCACCCTGGTAGTGAAGATGGAGGAGCCAGTGAAATGACCAACCCAGAAACTACCCAGGCCCAGAACTAAAGTTATAAGTTGGTCCACCTCAACATCCACCCAATCTGTGATCTGCAGGAGCTTGTGGAAAGGTTAGTCCCATAGACCCAAAGCTGCAGGATCTCCGCAACTCAGGGTATCCAAGAGGAGTCCCATTTAGGATCCAGTGTCAATAGTGTAGCAGAATTCAGGGGCCTCAAAACAGACCAATGATTCTTTGCAATGAACACTTGCAAGTGAAAATATATGAACCAAGGGGTTTACTGGGTGACTCACTGTGTCGCACTGCAGCATCCATGACGAGATTTTTTTCTTTTTCCTTTTTTTCTCTTAAATATTACTTTACATTTGGAGGGGGGATGCAAGGGCAGATAGTAGATATAAAGGGACGGGAAAATGAGTGGGATCAAGATGCACGATCGAAAGATACAAGGAATAAATAAAAAGAACTTTAAAAAATTATGTATGTATGCTTAAACTGGCTATATTTCAAAATTATTGTTTAAATTGTTCTGAGCTCAAATATTGTGTTTGGTTGGAGCTTCCAGCTTGCCCATGCACAAGCTGGAAAACCCCATCTGCCTACTTCCCACAACCATGCCCACACTAAAAAACTCCAAACAAAAAAATGGCACTTAAAGCCTAGTTCTGTATTTCTGGAAGCTGGTTCAACCCACCCTCCTGACACGACCAGCCCACCCAAGTACCTGCCCAGGGACTTAGCCTTCGACCATACTTTAGAACAATCCCAGCTCCTGACTGGCACGTCATCACCCCTTGCCTACCTAAGAACTATAAAACCAGCTTGCCTTAGCTTGGGGATACAACTTCTCTGACCTCGTTCTCCGAGACCAGTGAACCCGCCCAGGAGTTGCTTTATTCTCAGTAAACCTGTTGTTATACCTGCCATTTGGGTTGATCCAGCTTACTGTATCTATAGGGGAACTTATTGTATCTATAGGGGAACTTACTGTTTCTATAGGGGAACTTACTGTATCTATAGGGGAACTTTCTATCTGAAAAAAAAATAAACCAAACAAATCAGCTAGTACTTATTTTATCAGCCAATATTCTTTAGACATTAGGAAGGAGCTTCAAAGGAGACATGATGATGTCCGGCTACACCTATGCCATTTAAATTTGGTGTCTGGGGTATCAGCTATGCTTAAGCATAGGCAAAGTATCAGAGGAAATGGTCATAGACACAAGAATAAGTCTGACTGGTGATAGCCCTGCCCCTGGGATAAATGCATTTCCCCAGGTAAACAAACAGACCTCTCAGAGAATCCCCAGGTAAAATAAAAAGGTTTTAAAAGGGCCGATGCTTGCCATTGCTATAGAAGGTCCGTATACTGAAAAATCACCTCCTTTGGTGAGCTTCTAGGAACCCAGATCTGTGTACTTTCACAAAAGGGGAGGATGAATATCATGGGAGACTGCAGCTGCCTATTGTTTCCTAGGGAAAGCTGCCTCAAGCAACAGCGGCTGCCACTGAGATAGATGTCTTGTGTAACTTTACATAGCAAGTAAGAACATTTATGGGGGACTTGTGTTCTGCCAAAACAGACAACCCAGGATTCCTTTCTAAATGAATGAATTTACATTGTAACCAACCGTTGAAGGGAACATCCCAAACCAAATGATTTACTGAACCCTTAATGTCCAGATGGTTAAAGGATTTACAATCTTCAGCTGGGAGGTGGAGAGTTCATAATTATGCAAAGAAAACCTTTTGCCCTCCATATGGCAAAATGCTAAAGAAGTGGCCTTCACTGCCCTCGCTGACAACTGAAGAATATTCCCAGGCCAACTCTTTGATTCGATTAAAAATGGCTCTTGGGATCAGTGGCACAGAGCAGGCCATTGGAAACTGTCAAAAGACCTAATGATTTCAGTCATCTGGAGAGAGGTACACTGAGCTATTGTGGTCGCATGATACGGCCTGTTTGCTATGCAATAATTTAGGAATCGTGACCAAACTATTGACTCTGCTTAACCCAGTACCGAATATATAGTCTGCCAGGGGGTGAGGGGTAGGATTGACAACCTGATTTTTTTTCAGACACCTTTTAAAGGTTGTGAATAATTCTGGGTAGACAGAGACTTAACCTATTTGAGCTTGAACTAAAATAATTCAGGAAGGTTTTCTCTACAACAAAGCCTTCCTTCTCAGAGTCTTCAGAGCCTCAGAAAACTTGCTGAGGGTAAAGTTGCTATACTTGCAAACTGCTAAAAGACTTGAAATTTCTCTTCAATCAAGAAAAAAATCAGCTGGGCGGTGGTGGCACACGCCTTTAATCCCAGCACTCGGGAGGCAGAGGCAGGCGGATCTCTGTGAGATCGAGACCAGCCTGGTCTACAAGAAATAGTTCCAGAACAGGCTCCAAAACCACAGAGAAACCCTGTCTCGAAAAACCACACAAAAAAATCATCTTCTTCTTAAACACAAAGCAAACCCCATTTACAAATCTGTCAGCGTGTGGGAACCTGACTTTATGTTCTAAGTTGCTCCAGCGTTTTTCTTTTAGGGATTGTTCTTATTATCATATATCATATATTATCATGTCCTCTGCCCCTTCCAGACTGTCGAACCACTGGATTCTTTCCTGAAATTGTTATTTTGTATCTTACTATATTCTCAGAATATAGCCACATTTAGGTTTTTAAGCTTGTCATTTCTATTTAACTCATCCCAATTAGCCCTGTCTTTCTTGAAACTAATTCCCTTTGAGACTGGGAATGGCAACGTTTGAGAGATAACCATGGAAGAAGTCTGATGAGTGTGTGGATTTCAGTTGTTTTTACTGTTTGTGGTCCTGAGTATCTGCTTCCTAAAATCAAGACTGGAAATAGCAGCAGCAACTTGCTTGGAAGAAAGAACGAGAGACTTTCATCTTAGAATCAGCTCCATATTTTTAACGTTTATGGCCAATAAATCTTACTGATCTCAAAACCAGACCCAGGGACATTTTTTCTTTAGCAGAGAATCACCCCCAAACGGGGGTTATGTCTCAGCCCCAGTAAAATTAGTATTCTATATAGTCTCCCAAGTTTTGCCAATTGGTCAGGAAGAATGACTTCGGATTCAAGATGGTGGAATGATGGTCGTCCCTGTGAAAAGGCAGCTCTGTCAATTGACTCCCCTTGATTTAGAGTAAGTCAAGCATTCACTTGATTAGTATGGTCACTTTCTCCAAAAGTTAGGATGGATCCCTGCCACAAACAGTAATTAACCATAATAGAGAAAATGATTTTGCTTTGCTGATCAGACATGGAGATCTAGAATCATATGGGTTGCTTCTATCTGCACTAAATAGTTTTGTGGAAGCAATCTCTGGGCAAGATTTGCACCAGGGTAGATCGGAGAGAATTATACATTAGGATTCCTTTGATTATAAGGAAAGGTCCTTGGCTGAAGATTAGTAAATATCCTGAAGGTCTTCTGTTTTATCATAGCTTGTTTTGTTCACTTGTATGAACATTTAGCTTTCATGCTTATTCCTCAACAAGAGTTTGAGGGTGTTATATGAGAGATGGCTCAGGATTAACAGCACTGCCTGCTCTTCCAAAGGTCCTGAGTTCAATTCCCAGCAACCACATGGTTGCTCACAGCCATCTGGTGATATCTGGTGCCCTTTTGAGGAAAAGACCTGGTCAGTAGTCCTCATCAACTAAGACCAGGAGACCCAATAAGGACAAGTTCAACAGAACCGCCATATACAGGCTAACCATGCATGCCTAAGCATTGCCAGGGCATAAATTTCATTCATTTAAATTTCATATAACAAATAGGACCTCTAACAGCAGCAACAAAAGTAAGCAGATAAAGCTGTCTAACTTGGCAGCCCAATGGATCTCACTCCTAAAAGTGATAAATAGAAGGCCTTGATCTTTTGATGACAACAGGAGAGAAGCCTGTGCCATTGTTACAATGGAGCACTGTCTGGATACCCCTGGCATCTTGAGCGATGTGTCCTCGGTCCCCAAGATGTACATGCCCAAAGCAAACCTATCCACCATTTCTTTAAATTTTTAATACTTTACTAGCCACAGGTTCTTAATCAACTCATAGTCGATAAATGTATTCCTATTGTTAACGCTAATTTCAGGATTAGACATAAAGATTAGTCTAGTGCATGAGTTTTACTTTCCTGTCTAGAATAAAGATCACTCTTTTCTTCAGATCCTTATGTTTTGTAAGATTACTCTCTGTTCTGTAAGATTCAGCTTTTTTATGATCAAAAATGTTTTAAGATCAAAAACGTCGAGATTTTGTCCCTGCCTAGGTAGGATCTACAATGATATTCAGTCTTAGAAAGCTTCAGAAAATTGTATTTCAGCCATCAACAACACTTAAGAGAAAATAGGAAAGTGTGAAAGAAACAAGGACAAGATAGAGTCACAAGGAAAGTTAGGGTGACGTTGAAAAGGAAAGAAACCACTCCATTCTGCCAACTGAAAATTAAGATCATCTCAGAAACAAGATTAGAAAGCATAGTGTAGCCTAACATATACTGAGAATTCCTTAGGTGTCTGACGAATGGTTTTATCTGATCAGTCTATAGTTCTATCCATTGCACCTCTGAACCACCTCACGTCACTTGCCAGAGAAAAATTTCACAGATAAAAATGTTTTCCAATGTAATTTACATAATCTTTAAAATATTTCACCAGGGTAATTTCAAAACCGCAAAATCATACAGATATAGAAGTATACTGATATTGATTGGTCAGTAGGGATACAGACAGACAGACGACAGATAGACAGACTTAAATGCCATTCTTTTAAGAAGTAACATTCTACTTCCAAACATGTACTCTTCCTATACACCAACCTCTCTCTCCTAATGACCAATGTCAGAAACAATTCTAAATAAACTCCAAATTTGCTTTAAAAAAAAAAGAGGTGCTAGTTCTCAATACATTTCTGAACAACAAAAACAAAGTTTGTATATCTGAACTCATGTCAACAAACACGGGCTACAAGATTCAGTGTCTCTTAACCACCTCCATCAAGCCACAATTAATACAATCAGTGACAATAGATAATGATTTCAATTTTATTAGTTTAGCACATGTGATGACTATAATTTTTATACCCAAAGACGAAGAACTAAAATACAACAATTCTGTTGCTATATGACAAAGCCATATTTAGCAAATTCATCAGTAGTCAATCATGATATAAAGCCAACATTATTTCAGTATGACAAATGACTTGATTTTGTATTTCTCTTTGTAGCCAGATATTAAACTAATATCCTCTTCTAACCAATACTGAATACTTTTCTGAATACT